CTTAATATATTCCGTGATTTGCTGAAATTTAACATTAAAGTTTTCAGAAAGTTATACATTTGACACTTAAAAATCAACAAACTATTTTTTCTAAAATCTGTTCTATTGTGGTTTTTGGCACTTTTTTCAAAACTGAAGTTAAATTGAACAATAATAAAAAAAAAAAAAAGTTCTGTTTCGCTTGACTAAAAACACCACCATTAAAGATTCAAATTTGTACATGCATAAGTCTATGGGGGAAAAAAAATACATAAGACTTGTAAATTCTTAGTTGTTCAGCAAACTAAACTTTTTTTTTCTTTTTAACAATTGGCCAAAAAAGGAGAAAAAAAAAAGTGTAATGTTTCAGACATGTTTGCGTTCATTTGACCAAACAAACAAGATGGTTCGTTGGAACAACCCTAATAAATATTTACTAAAAATCCAATATTTTTAAATATCACCTTTATAGAAAAAAAAAAAAAAAAAAACTTTTACTTATACACACCTAGTTTAATCAGTAAATCCATAACTTTGAATTTAAGTGATTCACATTTTACATACAATTATATAATTTAAAAATAATCCATAAAATATCAGTGTTTTCCCAGTTTTTAAAAGCATTGTTTTATTTAAAAACACTTTGTTTTAAGCTTAACAGAAGCAGAAAGGCATTAATACTTAATGCACAATGTTCTCATCCTTAATAATAATACAAAATAATTTATGAAAAACAATACGTAGCAGAGGAGTTAAAGTTCTCTAAATATGAAACTAAAATCCTACAACTAAGAAAATAAATTTGCTACTTTGGTTTCTTCTCTTAAATTAAAAGCTATAAATAATAACCTACTAACGTGCATGAATTTTGTACTGTGGGTATTTGCTGCCATCTGGTGGCAGCAGTATGAGCATCAATCGAGTTCACACAATTTTATTAAAACAGATTTTATTTAGAAAGTCTTTTGTACTCCACAAATAAACCATTGATTAAAACAGACTTCTAAAAACTGCCCTTATGGCATTTACACAGGACTCCATAAATAATTAAAGCACTACATTTAAATTAAGTTACTCAACACTTGCCTGCATAGCTGCTCAGCAAAACAACACATTTAAAATATATATATACACATTTATAAAGTCTAAGAGCGGTTCTTGCTGACCCAGTGATATCGGTCCTGCCTTGGACCAGAGAAGGCATAGGAAGGCCTGTAGCCCTTGAAACTCTTGTGGCCTTGATATGGCCCACCTGAAGAATAAGAATGCTGCTGCTGCTGGTAGCCCTCGGTAGCATACGGCTTCCTTTTAGGGTATGTACCCCAGCTTTGCATGGGAGGTGGCTGCCCAAACTCACTGAACTGTAGACAGAGAACAGTCAAATCAGAGCAATTAAAGAAACCAATATACAACATTTTTAGTGATGCTTCACACAATGTAATAATCCTTAAGAGTCGCCAAACATTTGAGTAGTTCATGCACTATAAACTGACAGAAAATTAAGTTGTTTTCTAGGTCAATGTGGCTAGGAACGATAATGCTAGTGAAGAGGAAAAAGCAGGTGCAATGATATTAGGCAACAATGTTACCTGGTTGTGGACCATTTTCAGGCACCAAGTATTATTCAACTAATAATACTAAGTATTATTACTGCTGCACCATTGATACAGTAGTAAAAAGTTACTCAGTAACTCCAAAAAGGAATATAGTTCCTAGCCTTATTAACCCAAAATAAAGCAACTTTTTATTGTTTTGTTGGTCTTAAATGCAATTCTAGTAAAGCTTTAAATAGCAAACTTAATTGAAAAAAATATATAAAATTAAAAGAATATAGTTAAATGTCAATTGTCTAATTCAGTTAGGCTAGTTAAATTGCTCCAACAAGAAGCAGAGTTCAATTGAATGGATTCAAAATGGTAAAACCAAACTGTTTAACTTGGGTGTAAAATTAAGCCCATTTCCAAAGAAATTGAGGATCCTTTAATAGACATGCCATGCAAATGTTACCTGGTAGACACTGTTTGGGTTGGAGACCGTTGGGATGCATTTGGGCTCAGGAACAGAAATACTGCTACTGTTGCTACTACTCAAGGTGCTGCTCATACTAGTGTTTCCACCCTCCTCATCAGAAGAGGTTCCAGAATGATAATCAGATGAAGCCCTTTCTACCGCATTGTTTATCCTACGAGAGAACTCGCCGTCTCTTTTTTGTCCCTCAAACTGAGTAACACAAAATGGGGTTGACTTTTCACCATACCTTGAAGAATAAACAACAATATTAGATTTACTACAATCAAGTCATCAGTGGAGATATAGCACTTTAGTGAAACAGGCCAGAAAATGTAGCATTACCGGCATGACACCTCTCCCGGATCAACCCAAATGGTCATTTCCTTTGGTAATCCAAGATATTCATATACAATGTCACTCTGACAACAAGCACGCTCAATAACAGGGTCTCTTGTTTGAGCTCTGTTCATCCTTAGACACCTAAACATATAGTGGAAACACTTGAGCATTCATATAAAGTGCTCAAACGATCCAAAAATAATAAAATAAATTGTATTAAGTTAGAATCAACTTGAAGGAAACTTGCCTAAATGCTTGTCCTTTGGTTGGGTTTTCTGGGTACCAATGACATTTGTAATTTTCAAAGAGTACAGAAGTTAGTTCCACAGCAAACTTCTCTCTCCGAACACGATCCAGTTTACCATGCTTCTTTGCTAGTCTTGCAATAAAAAACACTGTGGCTGCAATTTCTTCCTTCATTTTCAACTATATTTTTGTGGGCCAATAGGACAAACTGTTTTTCTAATGCTTTTTAATATATATTTACATATAAAAAACTATTAAAATGTCTTAAAACTTCAGTTACAATTAAAGCAAACAAACTGGTTATCTTGTACTCCTACTTGACAGCTTAAATAGTGTTCGGTTGTTTTACTTTAGCTACGCAAAATCATGTTAGTTTCACAGGAAAGAAAGTCAGTTGTTTTTGACATCTTTTAGCTTTTTAAAGTCTCAGATGTGCTGAGCTGTAATTAGATTGAACAGGTGTCTCAAATTGTGGGAGGAACTAATAATGCCCTTCCTAGTTAGAAGATGAACCTATGTTAATTAACAAAGATCCTGAACTGAATCAAATTACAGACAAGTATTTTATTTGAATGTGTATCAATTGAGCAAACTTTTTAGAGGGATAGTTTAAGTTTTTTTCCTTTTGCCAAGTCCCCATAGGCAAGTCTAGACCTGTTTTCGCATGGACTAAATGGTCTCTTTGGCAACCCAGTCCAGAGACCCATTGTCCACTACAAACACACTGTTAAGCATTGCCTACCAACAGTTAATAACATAGCTTGTTTTCAGCGTCGACATAGATATGGGCCTCCGATTTTTTTGTTGTCTCCAAGCTTCGTTATGGTTGACTTTCTTTCAACATAGGAATTGTAGCAGGTAACGGCTGAACAATTATGTATTTCAATCCTTGGGTGTTTGGTTTTTTTTTTTTTTTTTTTGTGGCTAATAAAAGTTAATTCAGACTCTAAAATCGAACTAAACTGGCATTTGAACCTGTTGCAAAATATGAACGCGCATTTAGTAGCCTAAAGTAATTGTTTCCTGGCAACAACAGCGGGATTGTTTATAATTATTATTATTATTATTATTATTATTATTATTATTATTATTATTACTCGAAGTAGCCTGTTATGAACGATGCTGTAATTGAGGTAAAGTTGGTTATTCACACATTTGGACTTTCTCCGTAAATTATAAAATTTCAGAATTCTTTGCTAATTTCTAATTGTAAAATCATATTAGCAGCTAATGAAGTAGTACAGTGTTTACAGTCAAATAAATAGTGGTAATGTTGTTTTAAAGTCATTTGGCATGAGATTTCAGCCAGAATTTTAAAATTACCATGGTAATTAATTTTGGGAGCGTGCCACAAGTTGTCACGGAACGAATGTGCAAATATAAAACCACCTTTACCTCCATCTGTAAGAATAAGTATGTGAATCATTGGAAATCTTTTTTTCAGAAAGAAAAAGCCCGCAATTGTGAAAGTATAGGCATACAGGATATTTAAAGACCTAAAACATTTCGTTCATTCATTTTTAAAATACGATAGTATTAAAAAATAATCAAGCGTAGAAATGATTAATTCAGTGTTTTAGGAGTGCAGAATCAAATTAGGCTATTTAGATTAGTAAAATGTATTACTTAAGGCTACGTACATTCCGATGCTTTCTACAATTGTAGGGTGCTCTGCAGCTTATTTTACTGGGAGAAAAAGCGGAGAGCGCCTTGATTCGCGCTCTGTGACTCCCGCCTCAACTGGCGCTGAATTTGAACAATCTCCTCTGGCTATAAATACTGTCAGTGATGTGTGCTGAATCCAAACCTTCTATCTGGCCCGAAGGAACCACAAATGAGTGTCTTCAGGTAAGTTTGACTAGTTTTAATTGTTAGTTTTGACGGAGCTCCATTTCTACAGCAGATTATGTGACAGCTTAACTTGCCTGTAATTTAAATATTGCATATTCAACCCCACCTGGAGATGTTGCAGTAGCGTAACGACAACAGATGAACATACCTTGAGAGTGCAAAAGCCTTCCGTTAGGGGGCTTCTTACTTGAAACATGTTATTTGTGGAATCTGCTTCTCTACATTGGGGTAAAGTTAACTTTACATTTTGCACATTCTGACTCCATCCTAAATATTATATTTTCAGAAAAGTATTGTTTGATCATTCTAAATAGGGAAATTATATTAGCAGCCACAGTCAATTAAATACTGCTGGTACTGTTTTGAAGTCATACTTGCATGCTTTTTGACTGAATATTCAAAGTAGCATGTCACAATTTGTCACAATCTTTAGTTTACTTCTGAAGTGTGATGCTAGGATTTTGAGTTGTATAAATATGCCTGTAGGTCTATATTGCAATGACTATCCTATTGTAACATTTGTTTGTATGTCTTATCTTCACAGATGGATAGAAGCGCTAATATATTAACATGTTGGGGTTGGTCTGTAGGCAGTGTTGTTAGCTGATTGTTTCATATGAACTATAATCACTAACCATACTGCCAACACAACAACCTACAAGGAAACACAAAGCTGGTATAACTGTCTGACCGGTGGCAATTTTTTGTAGGGTTTATACTGTTAAGTTCTAACTTTTGTGATGTAGTTCTGACAGGACTTTCAGGTTCTGCCGGAGACTTTAGGATAATGATAAACTGACCCTATCGGATTATGCTGTGTGGTCACCAGGCAGTGCAGTTAGTTGATTACAATCCATAAAGTAATCACTAACCTCACTACCAGGTGAAGGCTAGTAACAAAACAACATACACACTGTTATTTAAAGAATTTTTTCCTGTTTCTGGAATGACACATCTGATAATAAAGTGAAAAACATACCAAATTGTGTGCTAGTTTATTTATGTAGTAGGCTACTCTTTAATGTCTTTCTTACATTAATGAATCATAGTCAGGTTCATTTAAATATGAATTAATCAAGTCATTAATTTACATTACTTTTTCATTTTTGTCAATTGATAACATATAGAGAGCTATTTCCTCTGAAAAAATGTAGTAATTACATTATTTGAAGTTTGGAACATGCTGCTGTAGGCAGTTCCAGTTTGGCATTTTGGATATGTGTAAAGTCATCTGATATCCTGGTAACGATATAGATTGATATAAATTTGAATCAGTAAATGGTTTATGTATAGGCTATTGACCACATGTGAAGGACTATTTCCTTATTATATTTTAAAGTATGCACTCAGTAATTTACTCATTCACATGTGATCATATTAATAGCTTTATTTAAAATTTCAAAGCAAATGTTTGATTAAAAATGCTGCAATATAAAATAAATGGTATTAAAATATAAAATACTTTTCAAAAACAGATGATTACAGGTCCAACTTCAATCATTCATTTTCTTGTCGCCTTAGTCCCTTTATTAATCCGGGGTCGCCACAGCGGAATGAACTGCCAACTTATCCAGCAAGTTTTTACGCAGCGGATGCCCTTTCAGCCGCAACCAATCTCTGGGAAATACAGGTCCAACTTAAAAATAATAAAATCACAAAATAAACTGCACAATGCACACTTTTCGAAATGCTGCATTATTGCTTCTGTCTGCACTGTATAAAAGTTGACTCAACTGAATATTTTAGGCATCAAACTTCAGGACATTTTTGAGTTTACTCAAACTAAAATCGAGTCAACTGCATTAATTGGGTTAAAAATGGACGTTTGTAGCCTTGATTTTTAATTTGTCAACTTTTTTTATTTACAATGTGCATCCCCTAGTGGTTTGAAAGATTGTGCTCATAAATAATAAAAGTGTATTACCAAAAATAATATGAAATGAACATCACAAAATCAACAATTGAGTATAATATGAAATAATAGACTTTTTATTTTGTCCATTGTCAAGTTGCACAGCCCTAATATATCTACTATATACGTTTGTAACTTTAAAATGTACTGAAAAAATAAAACTAATACTGTGTTAATAGTACAGGTCAAAACTGAAGACCGGCATACACATCAGAAAACAAACAGTTCATAAATATAAGAAGAAAATAAAGCAAACATGTTTGATCATAAATCTAAGATGGACAAAATCAGTTTCTAATTGTTATTTGCACCTATATGCACCTCAATGTTGCCTATTTATGGCATACACATATATGCAGCGTATATATTATCATAATGTGCATACTGGATATAGGTTAAAAATATGCGCATACATCCTCAGATAGATTCTTTACATGATGGTTTGTAACACCAAATGTATAGGCTTAGATACTTATTAACTACATGAAACTTCAAAAAAATCTTTTTGAAAAATTATACATAAGATTAAATAAAGAAAACAAGCTAAATCTTACCTTGCCAACCACATCTTGTAGCGAACGTTATAAAAAAAGCACGAGGGCGAGTTTATTATTCATACCGCTCGCCACCAGGGGGCGAAAGAAATGTTTTACTTTTCAAAACGTGTATATTTTGGTTACACAGCGTAACCAATAGGTAAACAATTAAATTGTTTGTTTTTAGTGTCTCCCCCTTCGAAATAAGTATTTTGAATGTATCGTCCTTCTACTTTTCTTTTTGATTTACTTACTTCCGTCTACTAGTGAGGGGTTACCTTGGTAACGGCAATACACATGTAACGGCTACCTATTGCTTGCAAACCATGAGTGAAGAACTAGACGAAGAGGTTTTAGACGGTCTTACAGAAGTCGAAAAATTGTATACAGTTTTTCATGGAGCGTCGCAAGAAGATGTGGCGTACGCAAAGCTTTTCTGGAATTCTCTTTCTCTTCAACCACCGATAGAGTCCCGTCTCGTTTCTTCCGACATCAGACAGCGCTTAAAAGTTGCGAAAACCCCGAACAGTAAGTAGCTTTATAGTATGTGTGTAAAGTGGCTGTATAAATGAGCTGTGGAAAACATTAAAACCCTTTAACGTTATGGTAACTGCATCATGACGCTTTTGACATTTAGGTCTAATTTGGTTCTTTGAATATGGATCCAACAAAGCGCACGGTGGAGTATGAAAGTATTAGAAATAAAGGTTAAGACTGGCTAGATATCCTTAACAATCTTGTGTTGTTGTTGTTTTAAAGCCACAAATGCTGCTGCAAATCAAGCGCCATGGTCAAGTAAGTGTAGTTCAGCTATGTTGTTGTATTTTATTAGTGTATTATATTTTGCTACTATTAAATATAATCTGTTTGTTTGGTAGAGAGGAATGAGGAAATCCAACAAGATGCTTACCTGAGGCAAAAGCAGGAGGAGAAGCAGAGATACATGGAGATGGTGAGATCTCAGTGGCTTTGTTCAAGAGTCCACATATGTACTATTTTCATTTAACGTTAATCGTGGAAAAAAATATTTTGTTTTAATTGTTCTTTTGTTTGTTTGTTTTAATATTTGTATTTAGTGGCACATCCGCATGCTTATGTTGCTGAACATGCTGTAAACACAAGCAATACATTTATCAGGGGTCACAAATACCACACTAACAGTAACATTGTTTATTTAAACATTTATTTTTGCTTGAATAAATTGTTCAATAAGATGTACTTGTGTTTAGTTACTGTTTATTTAGTTCAACATGAATTTAATCTGTAGGCCTACATAAGCTCCAAACAGCAATTTTATGCAATTAAAAATTTTATGTAATTAAATCTTTAAAAGGATGATCTTTATGGATGATGATGTAATCTCATCCCGTTTCTTCTGTGGATCAGTTATTTTCAAGTGTGTGTGTGTGTGTGTGTGTGTGTGCGTGCATTATGCATCACACACCATAATTAAATTGGATTGGATATTATCCAAAAAATAGTTGACGAATATACAAATATCTCATTATATTTTTTTATAGTTGTCGTCATCATCACTTAATTTTTTTTAGTTTTCTTCTAATTTTCGTTGGTAGAAATTTGTTTGTCACGAAAATTATGACACACTGGCTTAAGGTTGTCACTGAATTCATCTTTTTTTCAGTCCTGAGTTGTCTGCCAATTCCTGCTTTTGAAAAACATGCCAAACGCATGATGTTGCCACCGCCATGCTTCAATATATACATTTATTCCTTCATTTTCTTTCTGGCTTAGTCCCTTTATTAATCCGGGGTCGTCACAGCGGAATGAACCGTCAACTCATCCAGCACGTTTTACACAGCGGATGCCCTTCCAGTTGCAAACCATCTCTGGGAATCATCCATACACACTCATTCACATTCATACACTCCAGACAATTTAGCCTACCCAATTTACCTGTACCGCAAGTCTTTGGACCCAGAGGAAACCCATGCGAACGCAGGGAGAACAGGCAAACTTCACATAGAAACCCCAACTGACCCAGCCGAGGCTCAAACCAGCGACCTTCTTGCTGTGAGGCGACAGCACTACCTACTGCGCCACTGCATCGCCTTAATATATACAATATTTTGTTATTTAATATTATTTTTATAATCTAATTTGGAATAAGGCTGTAACGTAAAATGTAGAAAAAGTGGAAATTATTTTACGAATACACTGTACTTGAAGGTGCAGTCCAAATTTAAAGTATTGGATAATATATATATATATATATATATATATATATATATATATATATATATATATATATATATATATATATATATTTTATTTTATTTTTTTTTTTTATTTATTTATTTTTTTTTGTCTTGTGTTTTTTTTTTTTTTTTCTTTACACAGTCTCTCTGACCAGAGTATGTGAGTGGAGTAGAGCAACAAGAATTTCCACTCCATGCTCAAAACATTTTCAATCCACTCTAGGTTTACCATCTCCCACTCTTAACACATTTGCACCAAACTCTGGCCGAAACTATGCCACTCCTTGAAAGATACCTCTTTTTTTCTCTTAAAATTTTCAGTATTTGGTGTTGAAAGGTAACTACCTCTGAAACTGGACAAAACATTTTAAACCTTGTTTACATCCAGCATTGACCACTTTTGACCATGCAGATCAACAAATGCATTAATCTTAAGTGTAAAAAAGGGGGCCTATAGGAAAGTCAGAGACCCTGGGTTAATAATGTAATTATCATTTCTGTGGAGCAAAAACTAAAATTTTATGAGTAGTTTTAAATGTGTGGTATATCCGAACACATTGAAAATGCACATGCAAAAATAAGCTGTTTGGACTAGATGACTCCAGCTTCTGTCATGATTCTCCTTTTGCTGTGATTTTTATTTCTAGACTGTGCATCGCAGCATAAAGAGCTAATGAGCCACTCTGTGGAGAGCGGTTATAGATCACTGATGAAAGATGATTTGAGATCAGCAGGGTTTCTAAGTGTACATCTGGCAAGCTGGAATCGCAAGTTTTAGAGTGGCATTAGCAAAAAGAGTCTCTGAGGAGCATCACAGATCATTTAAGATTTTTAATGGTGCTGCATCAGTGTCATTTAATACTATTCAAATCAATTCAAAGTTTATTTATAAACCACTATTTTGGGAACATGTCCTATACCACATGTCAATGGACTTGTGGGGGAAACCGGAGCTAAAAAACATTCTGAAATATAATAATGTAAAAAAAAATAAAGAAATATAATACATATAAAATAACAGCTTTCGGACCGTGTTAAACGATCTTTGTTGCTAGAAGTTTTACACACTCCTAACCCTCTTGAGCCCAGTTTAGACCTAGTATTAAAGGGATAATTCACCCAAAATTAAAATTCCTTTATTATTTACTCGGTGGTTCAAAATATTTTTGAACTTCTTCTGTAAACCACAAAACAAGATATTCTGATGAATGGTGGGAAAAGCAGCCTTTTCCTTTGTGCTCAAGAGAGAAACTCTCAAACATTTCTTCTTTCGTAAACCTCAAAGTGGTCAAGGCATGAATTAAAACACTAGTGCTGTGTCCTAATTTGCATACTATCTGTCCAAAATAGTAATTCTATTTTCAAAAACTGTCCCAAATAGTAGTATGTGGAAAAGGGTATGTCAAAGGTTCCTGGATGGTTTACTGTTTCTGGTAAAAAAAATTTAAGTGTAGAACTGTCCATACTCTAACTGCTAAAATTGCCCACAGTACACTGGGCGTTGGATGTGAATTTGATTAGAAGTCAAAGTGTAAATAAACTAGGATGTGCGAGACCAACCGTCAAGTAGAGAAACTTTGAAAAAAGATGTTTGTATGAGTGTTGATTAAAATCTAGCCCACTATAAAATATTGAAATCGCCTTTTCTGTGTTATATTTCATCTGCAACAACAATTCTGAACTTATATAAAGATGTATTTGGACATTAACATCTAAATGTAATTATCCAAAGACCTGAGGAGATTTCTCTGCATGAAAGACTCGTGAATGGCAGATTAACCTGCTGCTGCTTCTCTAAGAAATTAAATATGACAGAAATGTGGATGATGTGTGGAAGATTGACAGAGTTCATAACTAAGCAACACCATCTCTTAACGAGGTAGTAGTATGTCCGAAAGCTTGCATATTCTTCTGTTACACATTCAAAAGTATATGTTTTTCCTTCACAAAAAAATAAATACTTTTAGGGCGTAGTAAAAGTATGCTAATTGGGACGCAGCATAGTTGTAAACAAAAATGTCTTGCATGTCTATTTGTCATACCAAAACACTTCTTTACAGACCTTAATACAAGATATAAACAGGTTTGAAACAAATGGAAAAATGATGACAGAATTTTTCTTTTGCATGTCCCTTGCATACCTCCAGGTTTCTCCAGCACGTGTGCACTCTTTAAATACAATGCTTTAATTCTCAAACTAAAACAAACCAATTCTATAACCTAGAGAACATGTAAATAAAGCGCACTACCTAGAAAGGACCTAAGCTTTACATTCTAAAGTTTAACTGAAGGTGGAAATAAATGTAAAACATCTTTAGATTCTAACAAAAGCCCACAGATTTCAGTGTAGTTAATGTTTTGTTTTTAACCGAAGTGAATTCTGCTGCTTTCCGTATCATTTTTTACCATCTCCTTTCATGCTCATATGTACAGTTGCAATCAGTATTAATAGCCCTCCCTGAATTATTAGCCCCCCCGTTTATTTTTTACCCCAATTTCTCTTTAAGAGAGAGAATATTTGTTTCATCTTCATTTCTAAACATAATAGTTTTAATTTCTAATAACTGATTTATTTTATCTTTGCCATTACGATAGTAAATAATATTTACTATATATGTTTCAAGACATTTCTATGCAGCTTAAAGTGACATTTGAAGGCTTAACTAGGTTAATTAGGTTAACTAGGTTAGGGGAATTAGGCAAGTTATTGTATAAGGATGGTTTGTTTTGTAGAATATCGGGAAAAAAGAGCTTAAAGGGGCTTATAATTTTGACCTTAACATGGTGTTTAAAAAAATAAAAACTGCTTTTATTCTAGCCGAAATAAAATAAATGGACTTTCTCCAGAAGAAAAAATATTATCAGACATCCTGTGAAAATTTCCTTGCTCTGTTAAACATAATTTGGCGAAATGTTTAAAAAGAAAAGCAATTTTAAAGAGGGTTTAATAATTCTGATTTCAACTGTAAATTGTGCATTATTTTTTCAAAATATAAAATCAAAACAATATAAAAATTCATGCTTAAACACCCAAGCCATAGACATTTAAGATAAAGAACCTCAAAGTGGTCAAAAAAGGCATGAATTAAAACACTATGTGAAAAGAAATGTCTTACATTTTGATACCAAAACACTTCTTCACAAACCTTCATACCATTATAAACCGGTCTATAACTTTCATAACAATGCACCCCTTTCTCTGGCACAGTACCTCTGAAGTTATGCCTCTATTACCAGACGATTATTGTGCTTATTGATTGTGCACTTCCAATGCTTTCAAACAGAGGCAACAGACAAGCCGGCAGATTTAATTTAAAGGTTTCCAGCGCTGTCTGCCTCGTGTAAATTCTCACGCAGAGGAGTCAGTTGTAATTTTATCCAGCCGGCAGAATCCTTAAGAGCCTGCTGAGCCACTCTTAAGCCCTACATTTGTGCGATGATGAATCTGTCCGCATAGCTACTTTCTCTCCCAACACTGCACTAACCACATCCACTAATCAGATTAGAAAGAAATCACTGGTCTTGCAGATCAGTTAATCAGCTTATAAGAATAAGAAAGCATTGATTTGTCCTATTCTCGGGGCACTGTTTGGGGCAAGAAACTACTCATTCCTTTTTTTTTTTTTTTTTCAATGTGTCTGGCTGTATTTGCCACAAAACCTGATGAGCATACTGATGTTGTATGTAGAGCTAATTTAGCATCACAATTTCAGATAAAAATTGACAGTAGATGCAT